AGAAAGCACATCAAAAACGGTTTACTTTCAGACACTCTTTCTCCAATTAAACATTTTCAGGGGTCCCTCAGAAAAGGCATGGGGAGTAATGTTCACCCCTCTGACTCATCAAATCAAGCAAGTACTCGAGCTTGAGCTACTGAGCTATGTACAAGGTTTTTTTTTTTCAGCGCAGAGAAAAGGAAACACAGGTAAAATTTGAAAAAGGAGACAACCTCCTCCTGCTAGTTGGAAGGTAATATAAAAGATCCATATACAAGGTTACATATTCGGCCAACTACAATGAAAAAAAAAATTTTTTTTTAAGTTTGGAAACTAAAGAAAAATATCTACAAAGACAAATCAGTCCCCTGATGGTCAATATTACAGTAATAACACGAAATACGTGCTCGGTAATAGTTCACAACAGTTTCTCTAACCGGCACTAGAGTACCCAGCTTTGACACAGCCTATAGTTAAAACAGCCTTTTTCCCCCTTCTTTCATAAAACGACAATTCGGAATCATCTAAGCTCTTTATGTAACAAGTATTTAAATGGCCTCCGGGGAGCTCCCATCTTCTTGATCCCTTATCGCTAGAACGCAGGCCGCTTTCTGAGCTTCTGCTAATCCCCCTGCAATGATTTGCTAATAAAGTCAGCCCAGATGGCTGTGAATGTCTTGTTTAGCCAAAACGTATCAACATATTAAACCCTTCCCCTCTCACTCAAGATGTGCTGCTTGGAAAATAAGTTGCTGTGAAAAGCTTTCGGCCATGTAACCCCGTTTCGGCGGCTTACCGTGAAATTTCTTGTCTAGAATCATCTGGGAAAGCTTGCGTTCTACCTCAGGCTGTATGGGGGGGGGAAAAAAAAAAAGATGGATTTAGGTTAATAGGTAAATGTCAAACTCAGTGAAACCACTTCAAAACGCTTGTTCCTACTCTACGCACTATTACGCTGAAGTAGGCCTACGAGCAATTCGGAAATAAATGTCTTATCTAAAGTTAGGCTAGAGAAAAAAAAAAAAAAAAAAACGTATAGAATCATTAAAGCATATTTTAAACTATAATATACAAGGCAAATGGGGCAAAAGCAACAGATGAACTTTAAAGTGTTACTAAACCCACAACAGTAAAATCTGTCTGTATATTTATTTATTTCAGGCACTTATATAGCGCCATCAATTTACGCAGCGCTTTACATATATATATTGTACATTCACATCAGTCCCTAACCCTCAAGGGGTTACAATCTAAGGTCCCTAACTCACATTCATATATACACATACTAGGGCCAATTTAGACAGGATCCAATTAACCTACCAGCATGTCTTTGGACTGTGGGAGGAAACCGGAGTACCCGGAGGAAACCCACGCAGACACAGGGAGAACATGCAAACTCCAGGCAGGTGGTTGGGATTTGAACCAATGACCCTAGTACTGCCAGGCAGCTAACCATTTAGCCACTGTGTTGTCCTATATGCAGTCAAGCATGCTTGTTCTACTCACTGTGGAACCTAAAGGGTTAATCCTCCACATTGTGTAAAAAGGATGTTTGATCCTCTCTTCTCTGATCCTCCTCTTCTTACATTGTCCTGATAGAACAGAGGTTTGGAGTCACTCTGCACATGCTCAGTTTACTGTATATTGCTAAAGAGGTTTTTTTTTTTTTTTTTTTTTTTTTTTACTTGTGCATGTGATCAGCACAGGGCCAATCAGCACTGTCCAGACAGAGGTCAGGGGTCCTGCATCCTCCTAGAAGAGAATGAAAACTCCTCCTACAAACTTTAACCCGTGTTCTGCTGAACACTGATAGAAGTCACAAGACTGCTGTAATTACTGACGAAAAAATTTATTTAGCAGTTTATATTTACTAAAACGATTGCATTTCCATGTATTGTGTAGTGAATGCAGTGTCCTGGGTTTAGTAACACTTTAATGCCCTTCTTCCTAACAGCACATGCTTGTCATTTGCTCAGTTTCCATCAAGAAAATACACAGTATATTCAGATGGAAGGATGTTTGTGACTCATTCCATGTGACAGCCCTGGTTCTTGCTGACTGGCCCAAAACAGTCACATGGGCGCAAGCCCTGTGCCTTGTGTAAGCACTGACTTGAGTGATTCGGAGCTTACACAGAGCTATCTTTCTCTGCTCTCAAAGGCTGAACGAAGCAGCAGGAGAATGAAAGAAAAATGGTGTGTATGTGTAGTTGGGGGTAAAGAACAATTAAGTGAACCTATTGCTATGTCATGTATGGAAAACGCACAGGCTTTCTTTAAATAAAAGAAAAAAAAAAAAAAACATTTTTATTCCTATATAACTACTTGACTTCTAGAAGATTTTACCGCCTTTATGACCAAAGCATTTTTTGCCATTTAGTACTGCACTACTTTAACTGGCAATTTCACGGTCATACAACACTGTACCCAAATTAAATTCATATATTTTTTCTCACACAAATAGAGCTTTCTTTTGGTGGGTGTTGAACACCACTGGGTTTTCTTTAATCAATCATATAAAATGAAAAAAAAAACAAAATATTTTGAAAAAACAAAAAAAAACAAAACCATTTTTTCTTCTGGTATAGAACATATAAGTGTATATTAATTGGTTTGTATGAAAGTTATAGCATCTACAAACTATGGGATATATACTGGAATTTATGTAGCTATAAACACTTTACTGGTAATGGCAATGATCAATGACTTATAGTGAAACTGTGTTAGTGTAGTAGGCAATCTGGCGCTAACAGACACTTGCTGAGAGGGACACTAGTGTTGCTGCATATATTGTACACTGTACTAATGACACTGGCTGGGAAGGGGTTAACATCTAGGGACAATCAAGGGGTTATCGGTGTGCCCGGTGTGTAATATGTGCTGCTTTTACTCAGATCGCAATACATCCAGATCATTGTCCTGTTTGTTTGTAAACACAGAACTCTGTGCTGAGATTGAACACAACCGATCACCAGGTTTCAGACAAAATCATTGGCTGAAACCTGCTGATAAACTCGTGCGGTGTCCAATCACAGCAGGGGGTGTGTACGCGCATGTGCCTGAACCCCGGTTACCAGGCGGCGTACGGGTAAGTCACCTAGCCTGGCTGTGCCACAAGTCCGCAGTACATGTACTATGGGGTGGGCAGGAAACAGTTGACAATATAAAAGGCATCATACTTCTGGACTTCTTGCTTGGTTTTTGATTGTTAAGTAACACAAACATGTCGTAGCGTTCATGCGGTTTTTTCTTCTCCATGCATGTTGCCTGGAAACAGTCTGGTAGATAACTACAGGCTACAGATCTAATTGACCTCATTATTCATCTTGTACTCAGCATGGAGTACTCTGAATACCTTAGAGAGCAATTCCAGGCAACAAATGAACATGTGAAATCAACCAGTGAGTTACCAATGCATTGCAGCACAATGCCTATGTGCCAGAATCATAAAGTTCACTCAATTTATCACAACATGAGTTCTTACTAGTGCAGCCACAGCACACGGACCACATTACAGGGTCAGCAGATGTTTATTTCCGAAAATCAATTCAGCGTAACATCCTCAGCTTCCTGAATCGATCGTAACATTGCAAAGGTTAAGGCTCAAAGGTTGCTGTGAAAAACCAATAGTATACCCATGTTCTTCATCAGATATCCTGCAGGAAACAGCAAGTGGGTGATGCAGAATCACAAGCAGGCATGTTCCAGGATCAGATTACTGACAGGAAACAGAGATGTCTGGTTGAGACATAAAAACCTGAGCCACTAGATTGTGCTCCCTGTATGCATCTCAAGGCTTAAAGTGTTACTAAACCCAGGACCCCGCATTCACTATATCCGCTCTCCCCGGACCCTGCATTCACTATATCCGCTCTCCCCGGACCCTGCATTCACTATATCCGCTCTCCCCGGACCCTGCATTCACTATATCCGCTCTCCCCGGACCCTGCATTCACTATATCCGCTCTCCCCGGACCCTGCATTCACTATATCCGCTCTCCCCCCGGACCCTGCATTCACTATATCCGCTCTCCCCGGACCCTGCATTCACTATATCCGCTCTCCCCGGACCCTGCATTCACTATATCCGCTCTCCCCGGACCCTGCATTCACTATATCCGCTCTCCCCGGACCCTGCATTCACTATATCCGCTCTCCCCGGACCCTGCATTCACTATATCCGCTCTCCCCGGACCCTGCATTCACTATATCCGCTCTCCCCGGACCCTGCATTCACTATATCCGCTCTCCCCGGACCCTGCATTCACTATATCCGCTCTCCCCGGACCCTGCATTCACTATATCCGGTCTCCCCGGACCCTGCATTCACTATATCCGGTCTCCCCGGACCCTGCATTCACTATATCCGGTCTCCCCGGACCCTGCATTCACTATATCCGGTCTCCCCGGACCCTGCATTCACTATATACTCTCCCCGGACCCTGCATTCACTATATCCACTCTCCCCGGACCCTGCATTCACTATATCCGGTCTCCCCGGACCCTGCATTCACTATATCCACTCTCCCCGGACCCTGCATTCACTATATCCACTCTCCCCGGACCCTGCATTCACTATATCTGCTCTCCCTGGACCCTGCATTCACTATATCTGCTCTCCAAGGACCCTGTATTCACTATATCCGGTCTCCCTGGACCCTGCATTCACTATATCTGCTCTCCCACAGAAATGCAATTATTTTAGTAAATATAAACTGCTAAATACATTTTCTCATCAGCAGTTAGGGCTTGTTCACACTTGACTGTTTTTCCAACTCTTGCCAAACGCCCCTATAGCGTTTGACAAGCGTTGGTCCGGCGTTTGTGGAGCTTTTTAACGCTCCGCAAACGCCGCATGCACAGTTCAGCGGCAGTTGCTAGGCGTTTGCCGAGCGTTAAAAACGTCCCACAAACGCCTATAATGAAGTTTGAATGGTGTTATTGCCCCGCAAACGCGTCGCAACCACACCGCAGCAGCGGCACCAGACTTGAATAGGAGGCTTCAACTCCTCCTGACTCGACCAGAGGTGTCCGTTTTGCCACATCACGACGATAACGCTCCCGTTTGAACAGCACTATGTGCTGCAATGTGCAGAATTTTCCCAGGCATTTGGGAAACGGTAAGAACGCTTCCTAAACACCTGTCTGCCGCTTGCTAACAAGGCTGGTGTGAACGTAGCCTTAGAGCAGCCTTGTGACTTCTATCAGTGTCCAGTTGAGCACATATTAAAGCTTTAGGAGGAGTTTTCAATCTACTCTCACTGCCCTATGAGATTGCATAACCCCTGACTCCCTGTCTGGACAGTGCTGATCGGCCCTGTGCTGATCACATGCACTCTCCCAAGAAAAAGAAAAAAACAAACACTCTAGCAGTACACACCAAACTGTGCATCTGCAGAGTGTCCCCGAGGCTGTGTTCTATCAGAAGATGAAATGGAGAAAGTGGAAGGGGAGGATCAGAGAAGAGAGGATCAAACATCCTTTTTACATAATGCAGAGGAAATAACCCCTCAAGTTCCACAGTGAGTAACAAGCATGCTTTACTGCATATACAGACCAATTTTACTGTTGTGCCTTAAGTAACACTTTAATGTTTCCACTTTTAGAAGTCAATATATCCACTAACCTTAAAAAAAAAACAAACAAACAAAAAGGTAAATAGTAAAATGATGAAAAAGGTTTCTGAACATAGACAGGCTTCATCCAATTTTCTAATGCATACGGCAATATTGGCCTATTTCTCAAACTGAAAGCCCAGTTATATAAAGAACCCTTAAAGGAAACGTAAAATCTCAAAAACATCAAAATGTATCTGGCATATAACGTCTTCTGCTGTTGAATGAGACATGGCTGTCCTTGTGAGGAGACGCCGATTCAAAAGTAGAGCGAAAGGGGCATACCTGCTCCCAGGGCAAGTTGTCATTCAAGTTTTATTCAGATGGTTTCATCCAAAACAGAAATGGAGAACTTTCCCATAGCAACCAAAGATGTTACAATAAGCAAATCAAACCACACATTCAGTTGGTCACTATGGGAATAATAACTTTCTTCTCTGTTTTGATAATTATGCTGCAAAGTTTTCAGTAAAGAAACTAATTTAGTAGCCAGATGGTGTGAAAGAACGTCATGCGGTTTAGCTGATCATCCAAAATGAAAGGTCACCATAACTCAGTATTAGTACAGGTTCACTGAGCACGAACGATAGCTGAGGGAGCAAAGAAGGAAAAGAAGAGGGGATGTGAAATATCACGAACGTAGGAGCTGTCTTATGACTTTATCTCACCTTTGGCAGTTTGATGAGAATGGATATGTGATCAATCTGTAATGAAAAGAAAACAACCCTTTATATACACCTTAACACATATGGTTCAAAATATGCAAGGTCTAAAAGGGCAAGTCTATACATGGATTTAAAAAAAAAATAAAAAATACCGGCAAACTAGAAACAACATCCAACTCTTCTGTTGGAGAGCTGCAGGTAAGAGGCATGCTTGTGTAGGTGTTTTCAACTTTTAGACTTCATTTTGAACAATGGGCCATGCAAGGTTAGAGAGCCTCTGTAGTCTTGGAGGGATTTGCCGGAAGGCCGACATTTTTTTTTTTTTTTTTTTAAAGTTATAGGTTAGGTGACAGTAGGCCCCACATGCTGTATGAATTCTTAGAAACCTGCTCCTATACTGTGGCTTCAGCTGCTGCATTCTTATTCCAGGGTTGTGACTCAAAGCAGTGAAGACAGGTAGTTGAACACTTAGCATCTAGAGAACATGGATTACGTAAAGGCAGTCTATGCTCTTAGTACAGAGTTTCCCTTTAAACCTTTCCCCTTCCCTCTACAGAGTGTTGTCAGTTAATTGGAGTATGTACTTAACTACTCCTCCTCCTATTCCACCTCTGTGGTCAGAAGCAGGAATTCTACCATGCCCTGTGGTTATGCCCCAAGATTCAAAAGTTTGGGTCAAAAATATGTGGATTTTTTGAATCAGCCTTGGGTCTCCTAAATGTTAGGTTTCCTAAGATATGCCTGCTGGGTTGGTGGAGGACCTTCCATTTGGTTCTCATGCCAAGAAACTATTGTGCATACTTTACTTCTGCAAAATAGATGATCTTAATCAAATCGTAAGAGGTACTTTCCTCCCACCCTTCCAGAATGGAAACATCCGATAAAGGCCGTTCTTGCATTGTACCAAATCACATACACCACTGGGTGATCTCTGAAATGTATACTGGGTCTTTTGACCCAGCTTCTCCATACTGCCTAACCTGGCAGGGATCTCTGTAGTCCAATTTTTCTCAAGCTTTTCTCAGTCAAGGCACCCTTTAAAATTATGGATAGTCCCGAGGCACCTTTTAAAATCATGGGCAGTCTAGAGGCACCCCATTCTAAAATGTGAAAAACTATTCTAATAGTTTTCTATAACACAACAACATCCACACATGTAGGACACCCAACATTAGAGGTGATTTAAGAAAATACACTGGTACTGACTAGTATTCCATTGTTTCTCTTCTCCCTAAGTTTTTCTCAATAACTGAACTAATGTGACCTCAGCACTGACTGGGGGGGGGGGGGCAGGGGAGGGTCAAACTAGGATGCTGTGCAGGCAGCCGACATCCTCATCAACTGATGATTTCACTGGTTGTCAGAATGCCGGTGGCAAGAAAGTCGTAAAGATGCACAATGACAACCTGTGGCTTTGTGTAACTAAAAGGCAGATTTGTTCCACCCACTGGCTTGTATACAAGTTTTGGGCAATTTGTAGACATTTTGCCTAGACAGTCCTGAAGAAACCTCAAGACACCCCAGGGGTCTGGGCACCCTGGTTGAGAAAGGCTGCTGTAGACCACTGTTTATTTGTTTAAACTTCTACCAATGTACCTTCTGACTTTGTATTTCTGTAACAAGGTTTCTTTATGTAATATTCATACAGCTTGTACTATACAGGACACAGACTCTGAGTTGTTTATTACTTGCTTTATTGTATCTGTAATTTTCTTACACAAAAAATTATAATCTAAAAAAAAACCCTCAAAAACACAAAACATATACTATTCCACCAGTCAGCACAAATCTCCAGTTGTTATGTGACCCCAATGTCTTACCTGTACTCTGGAGAAAGGTTCAATGACTCGGATAAGGTTCTGTTCCAACAAATTGTCATAGAGCTTGGCCAAATGAGTGCTAATGATGGGGTCATCCCGTAACTCTGCCTTGTAATCTGTCAGTGCCTGTGGGAGAAAATGAACAGATGTGACATTTCTGTGTTTATCGGTCATCCTGCTTCCTAACAAATGACATCCATACTATGGATGGAACTCCTTACCTTCTCAAAATTGGCAAGTGAGCGGTTCTTGCTGGCCTGGGCTACACATTTCAGTGCTTCTGTCTGCAAGGCGAAATGTATTAATCCTTGGTTTCATATCTCGAGCATCTTACATCACAATAATGGGACAAAATCAAGCAATGGGTCTTATGGTCTGGTGTGGGTTGAGATAATGAAAGCTAACAAATGCACTGGGATAAGCTATACAGAGAAACAGAATTTATGTCAAGTCTCTGCTGCTGATCACTCTGGGAGAAGGAAATCATGCATATACGCAGGGACATTACGCTGTGTTATCTGTTGGTTGAAAAAGGGAGTTAAAGGGTCAAATCTGAGCTCACATTCCATAAGATCATTAACCTCCTCAGCGGTATGATTCTTTCCGATTTTTTGTGCTGAAAGCGGTACCATTTTTTTGCATGGAAATATGTAGTTTTTTATTGTAGGCTGTAATTTTTAGGAATAACTCACTGAAATCTGTCCGAACAAGAGTCTATTAAACATCCCGGGTAGGATAAAATTTGAAACACGAAATCATAAATTATAATTTAATAAATAATCATAAAAAATAATATAATAATAATAAATTTAATTCAATAATATATTCAAACCAAAAACACTGAAATTTGAAATACAGAGGCAAATTCGCACATCGCTGAGCAAAGTCGCAAAATCGTTTTCAGTGTCTGATGACGAATTTCCCCACGAATCATTATCACTCAATTCTGCAAGTAGTTCTGATTTACTATCGCTGTTCTCTAGCTGGTCTAAAACCGCTTTTGACGTAAAGGGACGCTTTTTGGACGCCATGGACTTTTCTAAGTTTCCAGGCAGAAAGAACAGTCAAAATGCAGGCAGGGCACAGGACAAAGCAGTAGGGACAAAATGTATGTGAAATGCACTGAAACAGCAATGTTTTACTATGTAATAATCATTTTAAAAAAGACATTTTTAAAAAATTTCAAATTTCCCGCCGGTTCCGACGCCCGTACGTCCCGATGTCACAGGGACCGGAACACGGAAGCCGGATGCCAGCATCAGCCGGAGGAGATGGCCGGGGACGCTGCAGGGGACACATTGTGGGAGCGAAGGACAAGGTAAGTGCTGCAGGGACTCCATGAGCAACACCACATGGTAAGCCCGAGTGTAGCTCGGGGTTACCGCTCTTGGTACTCAAATTTTACCCCGAACTACACTCGGGAATACCACCAAGGAGGTTAAAGAAACTCTCAGAGAAAGTGCACTTTCTGGAAACAGCATCTTGTATTTGATTCTCTGTGCTGGGTCATGTAGGTTTATGGATTTCAAAGCAGAAGAATACTATGTGGAAAACCACACAAAATAGGAAATTCATGTGCTTGGTATTTTATCTTATATTGTATTCATGAACTGCTGGCCACCATGTCGCCTAAGCCCTTCTCTGCCTTTTTGTCACCTGCTAATGGGAAGGACTAAATGTAGAAAGAAGTGACAACACAAAGGGGAAGATCTACATCAATCTATGTGACACCAGGCTCTAGCCCCTTTTACAAATAGTTGAGGGTCTTGATGAACACAGAGGGAGGTGGAGGAACTTCCTTGACATTTGAGCTAGGACATTAGAAGGGAAACATCAGAGATTCCAGGGTCCTGCTGCTGCACACTAACAGGGACGAATTATAAAAAGTATACTGGTATCGCTGCTCCTAGCATGCCTAGGGGGTATTAAAGCAGAGCTCCACCTAAAAGGGGAAGTTCAGCTTTAAGCCCTTGTCCTCTGCTCCCCATTCAGGATTGGCACCTTTGGGGAGCGGATACCCGAATTTGACAGGTACCAGCTCCCACTTATGCTGCGATTGGAAGCAGAAGTCGTCCTCCCTCCCCGTAGTCTTCCGGGACAGGTCGTAGAAGACTACGGAAACATTCACAAAGCGCAGCACTACTCGCGCATGTGCAGTGGGCACCCAGCTGTGAAGCCGCAAGCTGTTGCAGCCGGGTGCGTGCCCACATTGAAGATGCCAGCTCTGGTGAGAGAAGTCGGCTGTTGAAATCAGCCGTGGTAAGGACACTGCTGGACTGAAGGACAGGTACGTGTCTGTATTTTAAAAGTCAGCTGCAGTTTTTGTAGTTGCTGACTTTTCTTTATTTTTAATTTTTTTTTAGATCAACTGGAACTCCGCTTTAAGAGGCTATATGGGGTGTCTGCTTAGTCTACTTTAATAAACCCATGCCAATACTAACCTGTCTCCCAGCATAACGGAGGGCAAGTTTTCCGCTCACCAAGGCCTGTACATCTTCTGGCCTGTTAAGAAAAGCAAAAACTGTATAAACAAACAGCACTTTTCAACACAGAAATAACATATACCAACCATCCTGTAAATAAATTTTTCTTGATAGAACTTGCATTTCAAATTAGACAATTACCCCAAGCTAATTACTAAATTACAGAAGATCTAGCTGTCTTTAGCTCTCATTACATCAGATCCTGGTGCTGGCTAATGTACAGGATTCTAGGCTTAGGTATACTGATGTCAAAATGAAGAATTACATAAACCACCACGCCATTCAAACCGGTATATGTACAGTATTCCTAGCAGTTTCATTACACTGCCAGTCCTTATGTGGATTTTGGATAATAACAAAAGGTGGAGAAATTTCAATAGATTAGAAAGGCAGAGAAAAGGTAACAGAAGGGAAGGTCACTAGGGAGAGACAAATGCTCAATTATCTAAGCTATAACAAGTGCTCTTTTCAGCTGTAGGAGTGGGATATAAGGCAAGTCATAGATGATGCCTTTCCAGCAAACAGGTTGCAGGAAAGAAAATTACTCAATTCCCCCCATCTTCAGTGTCAGTGTTCCCTCCTGCAGCCATTTTGTATTCTGCCGTCGGGGAGCCTTCCCTGTCAGAACACAATGATATAGCAGCTATAGGCACTGGCAGTAATTAGATGCAAAAATTCCAACAGGATCGACTTCAGTATAATCAGTCTACCCATAGATGGATCGAACCTCAGCCTGACTCTTCTGAACCGTCCGAGATTCTATCTATCTATGGCTGGCTTTAGTCACATGGATGAAAAAAAATTATTATAGCAACTAACAAACAAATGCTTTACATCATAATGAATTGAGCCTAAGGTCTATACCAGATCTGGTACAGCTTAAAATGGTTTGAAAGGCTCAAGGTTTTTACCTTCATGCATTCTATGCATGTAGAAAAAAAAAAAAAAAAAACAGTGTGCAGTGCCCCCCCCAATCCTTACCTGAGCCCCTTCCTATTCAGTGTTGTTCTCGACTGCCTCTGCTGTATGGGGACTCTTCCTTCTCATTAGCAGAGACAGCAGCGGGAGCATGGGGACAGGGCCTCGACTCTGTCTTATGGACACATAGGGCAGTGGCTCGGGGACGACAACATAGCGGTGCCCCAGGGCGAGCAGCTTTCCCTGGGGGCACTGCTTGAGGGGGAGGAGCTAGGAGCGCCAGTGGGGACTCAAAAGAAGAGGATTGGGGCTGCTCTGTGCAAAACTACTGCACAGAGCAGGTAAGTATAGACATGTTTGTTTTGTTTTTTTAAAACAAAGCTTTGGTGTCACTTTGAGAAGGCTGTACTGTGTATGTATGGTCAACTTTAGGGCCCTTAAAAAGTTAAAATGTTCCTAATTTGACAAACTGACGTCCAATATATTTTTTAAAAATGACTTGTGACATATTTGATTTTTCTAATCTCAAGTCACAGGCCAACCCCAATGAAGACACTGCAGAAACATAGGAAGAATGTAAGATTATGACACACTCAAGATGAGAACCCTTATAATAACCTTCACATGAGACAAAAAGCTAAGCAGAAACTGATCCCTGCCTAATTATGACCGAGAAACATGAAGGAAGGGAAAGCCTCAGGCAAGGTGATACATACGTGTTCAGCATTATCTTGCACAGCAGCATGTATTTCAGCGCTGTTATAGCTCTTGGACTGTCAATAGAGTCATTGCCCTCAAAAGCCTCATAGAAATAGGAGTATGCGGTTTTCCAGTCCTTCTCTTCTGCTGCATGGATTATACCTGAAAATAACAGCACAGTGCAGTCATATGTCTGCCACACATACCATCACCCCATAACAGTTATTGTACAACTCATGGGGAACCTGTGACCTCACTACCACACTGAGACTGACAGCATTCAGGTAGCGGATATCAGCAACAATACTGAAAGCACATACAGAAGGTCCTATACACAGCACCAGGAAAACAGATACGCTCTGAAACCAGTCAGTCATTCAGCTAATTTGGGAAAACACTTTCAGATTTATTTAAAGAATGAAAGAAATACCCTTGCAGTGGGGTTCTCTTCATACTGCAAGGGTTTACATGCCAATTTTTAACCTAGGGTATACACATGAATTTTCTCTTACCTTACAACTTGCTCCCCCAGCAGCTGCCATTCACCTCTTCCCTCCAACACCCCGCCTTGTGAGCAGGCCCTTGGCATCCTCACCTACAATACAGGACTGATACTCCTGTGTTGCACATGATGACATCACAGCTGCTGGCCAAAGTACTGAAAAGGTCAGGCTACAGGGGGGACTGGTTGTAGGGAAGGAGTAGCCTACAGGAGTGAGGGATAAGGTAAAATGGGGGAACCTGCCACCACTGCTCAGGGACGACATGCAAACATCAAAAATGTGTAGTCAGTGGCAGCGCTGCCACTGACTACACACTATGTTTTCATCTCCCCCTGAATGGGTCATTCATACAGCAGCACATGTGTAGAATTACATTGGTCAAATCTGAATAAATCAAGGCTGAGGTCATTCTGTTAAAGTGTGCCACATGAATAACTCATTTAAGGGGGATACATCAATAGGGTATCACAGTGGCAGTGGTCCTGCTGGCTATACATGGTTGATACTTACATGTCAGCCCTGAGCAGCGGCGTCAGCCAATGAGATCCATTTATGCTGCATGCATGTAAACGCACCAACAATTACATGCGCACTGTTAAAGAACAGTCTATAAGCAGGACTGAGAATGAAAACGTAACCAGCGCTGGAGACCAAAACTTAGGAGCCTTCATGGGCACATAGCATACAATACTGCTTCATTCAAATTTGTATAAATAAAAAATTTATACAAAACAGATTGTAAACCAACCACAAGAATCCTTACTGACTGGCTTGGTCATATATATATATATAATGTATTACACACAACATACTACAAGTGTACCTGTTGACTTATACCATCTGGTCTTGATCATATAAAAATATAAAAAGTTCCACATAATGCAGAACACAACACCCCAAGCATTTCAGTTTCTTTATCTCAGCCCAACACAGTGCTGCCCTGCATGGCGGTGGGCAGACAGGTGAAGTAAAACAATTTCTCTTCTAAATCCTCATTCACGGAGTTTAATAACAGAAACACATCAAGGATCAGTTTTTGCACACAAGCAATAAAGAAGTCAAAATGAGAATTATAGTATAAGCTGTAATAAAACAGGGAAAACATGCTGAGAAGACCATCATTTTTTTTTTTGCATGGGGAACTTGTGCTGGGACTATTGCTTGCTAAAAGACTAAAACCATTTTTGTTACCTTCTTCAGTCTTCCAGCAGATTATTTTCCCAGGGGGTATACCAGTTCTTGAGAGAGACACTAACCTGACTGCATGTCCAGGGCTGCCTGAAGCTTGGGTGGGCAATAGATGGCATTGGCCGTAGTACGTGCAGACGTTAACGCTGCTCTGGCTTTGGGTAAGTTACTAAGGGCATGGTAGGTCTTGCTCTCCAAGAGCTGAACTTCCACCAAAAGGGCTTTGTCGTCCATCTTTTTCAGCTCTCTTAAAAGCTGTGATCCTAGTAAGAGGTAAAAACAGAACACATGTTTAAGCTGGCACAAATTTATTTATTGTTTTTGTTTACACAAAAGAAAAATAGAGATATTTTACACATAGGTGTATAAAGGAATCAAACTACAATCTCCATCATACCTTATACCCCATTATTATGGTTTTTTCTGCACTTTTGACCTGATTGAACAAAGTAGGCAGATATTGTTCAAATAAAATAAAAATCCTGTACGTTCACCAAGTGCACAGTAATGCTGATTTAACCCACAAAAACTGTGAATTCAATAGAGAGTAATGCAAAACAACTCCTGTGACCTTCATCCTATCCTCCCAATTTGTGACAGGGTGGATAAACTTACATTGTAATCAACTATAGGAGTGTCCTGTTGTGCTTATCCACTGACATTCCTTCGGAGATCTTTTAACTATTCCAGCTCTCTCTTTTGTAGGTCAAAGTTTAACATTAGAATTTACTACTGCTTTAATAACATGCTTTTTCCAGGTCTGGAATTTAAAAGTATTGAACCCATATTTCTCTCATGGTGGGTGTAGTTTAAAGGATAGGTTCAGCTTTGAGGACATGTTACACATATATTTATGGCGTAACATGTTCAGCATCTGCCTCCTTCACCCCCGATTGACAGCATGCCTTTAACCCAAACCCACTGTCACAATTCAAGAAGAGCGTGGCTGTGTAGCGCTCCACTCACACAGCCCTGTCATTTATTCAGAGAGTTCTTTGAATAATTGACTACAAGTACTATCATCCATTGTGGCTGACAGTTTGTAGTTCTCAATGAACTACCACGGCACTGACAAGCGCTCTGGTAGCTCATTGATCTTCCTGTCATTCAGTAAACAGGCCTTGAAATTTCCAGTCGCCTGCTCGCCAATAGCGAGTGGAAATTTTAGTGAGGGCGAGTGTGTCCCCCAGGGCCGTCTTGCTGAGCAGGCTCGGAGCTCAGACCGGATCAGTCATTGGCACTGGGAGCTGTCAGACTGCTCAATAGCTGAGCGCAGTGAAAGCAAAGGAAGGAGTGTTTGCTGTGCTCTCTGCCTCCCCCTAGAGTGCAGTACCCGGCTCTGTGAGTGAACAACGAAGTACTGCAACTTTTTAAAGGTGTGTGCGCGTACCTATTTTCAGCTCACTCTGGTCACATGATCCTCTATGTCAGCCAGTGGTGGCTTCAGGGGAAAGGAGAGAGCACTTAGCGTGCATGCATGTACATGTGTGTGTCTGTGTACATGTGTGTATCTGTACATGTGTCTGCGTGTATGTACATGTAGGTGTGTGTGTACATGTGTCTGTGTGTGCATGTACATGTGTGTGTCTGTGTGTACGTACATGTGTCTGTGTGTGTGTATTTCTGTGTATGTATATGTATCTGTGTGTATGCATGTCTGTACGTGCCTGTGTGTGTACAGGTTTCTGTGTGTATGTACATGTCTGTTTGTGTGTGTACAGGTGTGTCTGTGTGTGTTTGTTGGTGGCGAGTAACTCTTAAGGCCTGGCTAGTAGCTCAGGACCTGAAATTTTAAGCCCTGCAGTAAAGGTCTACTTGTACAGGAGGTATGGGCAGACAGCTACACCGACAGTCTACACCCACAGTCTGATGATTGTGAGTGCAATGCTTTACATGTTTCCAAAAATTTTCATTTTTTTTTATCAGCAAAAAACACGCATTTATTTATTTTTTTTTAAAAGCAAACGTACGACTTTGCATGCACTAGCAATAAATCAACGTGCCAGGGTTCTCAAAGATCTCCAGAAACAGAAGTAAGTCGCTTAGGGCAGAGCAGGTCAGTTTCAAAAACAGAATGATGAAAACATGGTCTGTTAGCTTGATAAATTTAGATCACACACACATACACCTCAACCAATTCTGTAGTAAATAAACAAAGAAAAAAAAAAATATGTTTAAATAAAAACACAGGGTACTCATTTTTCTAATTCTCATAATTTGTCTTGAAATCCTTTACTGCTCATAGAAACCCAATACTGGCTTTTAGAGCCACAATGCAGTGGAACACTAGAGGAAGAGCTGAGTTATATTCTGGAGACAGGCTACCATCTGCTGGACAACATACCTAATTGCAATGCCTCTTGGTAACGTTTAGTGTCAAAATACAGAGAAACAAGTCGAGCCTAGAAGGAAGCAAAGCTTTAAATTAGAATTCTAATACTTAAGTGGTTAATAAAACTTAGAAAAACTTAAAGTAGGTAAATCCTTAATAAATTATTTTGTATACTTGGCATCATTCCTCACCGTAGACATTTTTTTACTAAGCAAATGCTTCCTTTGTGAATTTGTTGCAAAATTTCTTACCTGGAGATCCTGCCAGCAACGGCACTTTCTTTTAAAGGCTAACCACGCTGAGCCACTGCCCCACAATTAGAAGGTCAACCTGCTGTGCACACTCCTTCAAGTGGCTGTTGGGCTGCTGATGAGGTCCAAGGCTAGGTTCACTCCTACGCAGTTTGCGTTTGAGCCGTTTCTGCATTGCGCTTTGCACCTGTGTTTTTGAAGCATTTTTGATGCGGCTTTTTTTTTTTAAAATAATTTTTCTTGCTGCTAGGCAGATTTAAAATGCATAAAAAAAAACACAGCAAAAATGCACTACAAGCTTGTCTGCAGCATTTCCACTGAAGTATATAGACCCAAAAACGCATCTTTTAGCATTCAAAAAAGTCCCTGACCCTATCCAAAAAACGCACCGGGTGAAACTGCCGAGATGTGAACGTGTCCCATAGGAAATCATGTTAAATGGACTGTACTGCGTTTCTTCAAAACGCTGGGGAGAACCAAGGGTGAAGGAAGGGCAGCCCAACAGCCAACTAAAAACATTACACATGGCAGGATGACAACGTTGTTGCTACTTGTGTGGTAGTGGCAAAAGAAACGTATTACTGGCAGGATCCCCAGGTAAGAACATTTGCAAGGTATTCACAAATGATGCCAAACATTCTAAAAAAATACATTAAGTGCTTACATATACTTAGAAATTCAGTCGAATGACAAAGTCAGATATGATATAAAACTACTATAATGTACAGCGCTGAGCAAACCTTTTTGGCGCTATATAAATCCTGTATAATAATAATAATAATAACTATGTGTGTGCCATCAACCAGCAATAAACTTTACCAGCAGAATGTCACCCAAAAGAAGGTAATTTGTGGGTTGATTGACTTCAGCGGCTCCTCACTGACCGTTATATCCTGCTTTGCCATTAGACTGGAATTTTGACATTTTAAGCACTTATTGATCTTATGAATTTAATTGTCCCACTTGCCTCCAGTGCTTGGCGTAGAAAGGTCCTCTTCTCAGCCTTGGCCCATTCAATGCATTCCAGGCACAGTTCCACCTGAAAGAGAACGTTTTGCTTTACATATGTGATTCTCACAGCTCAAGCTGTACCCTGGGATAAGCAAATACGGTCATGGACTTTCTGTCTGCAGAAACACAACAGGAAGTGGAAACCTGCCAAGCATCAGAGGAAACCCTACCTCTGACACTTGTCAATGGAGTAGATGTCCTCACTGGGAGGTTCCCCTCTACCCTGATCCCAGTAACAACCACAGAATTTAAAATCCCCCGATATCTGACCCTTCCAAATAATTTTTATTGAGACATTACCAGCGAGTCATATCAAGTTGTTATAGAGTGCAGAAATTGGCAATAATGGGTACATAGGTGTGTAGCTAGATAGAGTGGTAGTTCTAAGCTTCTAGATGTGCAAAAAAAAAAAAAGATAAAGTAGACTTCACGGTTGTAAAAGTGTTATGGGGTGAGAGAAGGTCACACATTCCCTGTGGTTTCCTCATCTCCAGGTCCTCCAGAAAGAAACAAATTGACTACTTCATCCAAAAATCTAAAAAACGTTTTGTTTTTTTTTTACACATACCAAGCAACTCTAAGGGCAGGTGAATGTATATGGACATAATGTACATCTGTTTACATCAGATTACATCAAAGTCTGTTCATGTCCGCAGGAGGAAAAAAAAAAAAAAATGGAAAAGGTTTGCATCCTTTTTCCGAAATAAATGGATGTGGTCTACTTACAGGCAAGAAACGGTGCAAACTGATGTAAAAGGATTCAGATTTTATGACAAGCCATTTCATATGAACAGTCAGTCTGGATATGTCTTTCATTTTTATTTTAGATGGATCCAGACTGAAACAGAATGTTCGTGTACAGGCAGGTGGATATAATAGGACATAGGGATAAAAGGATATAATCAAAAGAATAAAAATGGAAGAGATTTGCATCCTTTTATATTTTTGCAGACACAAACAAATGAAAACTGAGGTTGCCCAATAACGTTCACTTTTGAGAATTTTGTTTTGTTCACCTATGATTAGTTTCTTCAACAATGGGAAAAAAAAAACCTACTTGTGAAAGATGGATGTACAACAGATATGATATGAACTGAAGATGGATGTACAAACTAATGTAAAAGGATTCGGTTTTCATGGGATTGTTTTAAAATCCGTTTTCATGACGGAATTATCCTCAAAAAAAAACTTGCACATGGGCACATTTGCACATCCCATAAATGGGCAAAGTTTAGTGACTGGGAGCCTGGCAGAGCTCACATTGATTATTTCTACACGCTATAGCCACTGGCAATAATCACATGGAAAAGTTAACAGGCTGAATGTCCCCAAGTTGATTGATTGATCAACTTGGGTTCAATCAGCCTGCCCATACATGGTTCGAATCTTGGCCGGTCACTGCTGAACCGGCAGAAATTAGAATCGTCTATCACCAGCTTTAGGCTACGTTCACACTAGCCTTGTGTGCAGGCGGCAGAGAGGCGTTTGGGAAGCGTTTTTACCGCTTCCCAAACGCCTCTGCCAATTCTGCACATTACAGCACATGGTGCTGTTCTAACAGGAGCGTTTGCGTCGCGTTGCGTCGCGGCAAAACGGACGCCTCTGGTCGAGTCAGGAGGCTTTGAAGCCTCCTATTCTCGCCTATGGTGCCGCTCCGCAAACGCCCGGCCGGCGTTTGCGGTGCGGTTGCGACGCGGTTGCGGGGTGTTTGCGGAGCGGTAACACCACTCAAATGCATTATAGGCGTTTGTGGGGCGTTATTAACGCTCGGCAAACGCCTAGCAACCGCCGCTAAACCGCGCATGCGGCGTTTGCGGAGCGTTTGCCGAGCGTTAAAAACGCTCCGCAAACACCGGACCAACGCTTGCCAAACGCTATAGGGGCGTTTGGCAAGCGTTGGCAAAACAGCCTAGTGTGAACGAGCCCTTAGTTCACCTTTGGAAAAAAAAAAAATGCACGTTTTTGCAAGTAAACAAATGTGCATTTATATTATTTTTTTCCTCTCAGGGGCCTGCAAAGCATTACAAACATGAGTAGTGGATCATGGGTACAATGTCAGGCTCCTGCAAACACTTGCTACAGCTTTCTGCCCAGGCCTTCTGTATGAAAACTGGAAAAAGTGTCAATGATCTACAAGAGTGCTCACCAGTTTCCTTGCAGTTCAATGAGAATTACAAGCCATCCGCCGCAGTGGCAGATGATTCTTCTAATTTATTCATTCCTTCACAGATTCCTGTGAGAGATGTGGCTGTGTGGGCAAATGAACGCAAGTGAACTTAGATTTTAATGCTTTACCCAAGGCATTATGCATAAAAAAAAAATCTGAAGAGACCGATGCTTCTCTGACCTCACTTCACATACTAATGTTAACCAATGAACAGATTTTCACTTGTTGGCACTGTAGCAAACCATCCCAGTGCATTACTTTTGAGACACCAATATGGAGACCTCGCTCTCACCTCTTGTCCAGTTGCAGCCTCCATATCTAAGAAGAGGTCCAGCAGGGACCGAACCAGTCTGGCTGCTTTGGCCTTACTGATGGAGTTGAGGAAAGGACGCACATACTTCAGGAGACCACCGAGCTCTGTAAAGACAGGAAAGTGAAGTCAGGAGACTGCTGCTGACTAATGATTACACAAGAGAGAAATTGGGACAATGGTGAGGACATACAAGGAGTAAGGATGAAAATAACCAACAAATTAATTAAATCCATTTTCCTCTTGTTTTGGATAGAAAGTAGAAAGAGTAAAACGTCTACCAGGATGTATTGTCTGTGTCTCCATTGGGAAGACTTGTATTATTTGTCCTGGTGCCCACTATCATGAGGACTGAAAGTGATGTGAAATCTTAAAGACTGAGTCAAAACCAGAACAACAGAGTGGAAGTTTCCAATGAGGATTTCCTTTCCTAAGGAGAGATCTCCGTTTACTTCTGGTTGTGTCTTGAGGGTAAGTGAAAGAAAATCTCCCAAAGACAGCAGTGGTTTTAACTCCCCTTCACCAAAGTGAAAAGAAGTTTTCAGCTTTAGATATACCTTAAAGTGGAGATCCACTCACCTTGTCAAAAAATAAAAGTCAGCAGCTACAAAAACTGTAGCTGCTGACTTTTAAAAAGCAGTCACTTACTTGTCCCTCGGTCCCGCGGTGTGTCCCCTGCAGCCCGTTTCACCGGCCGTCCTGTATTCCAGGAGGCCGGCATCTTCATTGTGGGCACCCGGCTGTGACAGCTTGCAGCTTCACAGCCGGGTACCCGTAGCGCTGTGCTTTATGAATGGTCCTGTAGTCTTCTGGGACCTGTCACGTGTCCCAAAAAGACTACAGGGAGGGAGGACACCTTCCGCTTCTGATCGCCTAGGCGGAAGTGGGATCGGGTACCTGTCAATTCGGGTACCCGCTTCCTCCCCCGCAGCCCAAAGGTGACAATCCTTAATGGGTGGAGCTCCGCTTTAAGGATTCTGGAGCCAAATGTTATACAGTACGCTCCATTATCAAAGGGTCTAAAAAAGTTGAACTATTGAATGATTCAGAATTGCTAATTAGACGGAGACAGTCACGGTAGACTCTGAAAAAGCAATTCCAAACCAATTAGATTTTCATTGGAGACAAATCTAATTTCCGTCAGTCTTCTAGTTCCTGAAAGGAGAGATCTACACTCATACCTAATATGGTCGTGAAAAAAATATATAACACACACATTGGGGTAGATTTACTAAGACCAGAGCCCTCAGTATCTGGTGCGGCTGTGCATGTTAGCCAATCAGCTTCTAACTTCAACTTGTTCAATAAGCTTTGGCAATAAAACCTGGACGCTGATTGGTTTCTATGCAGAGCTGCACCAAATTTTGCAGTTTTAGTACACAAACACCACACCATTGTGTTGCAGGTCTATGACATTTCCTTACATACATATTAAAGCTGATGTTTAGGAATGGATATTTTCACATAGTTACATTGGTCCAGCTTGGACAAAAAGTATGTAAGTATGGCAGTATGTGCCATACCTGGCTGATTCCAGTAGAAGCTGGAAGTCAGTGTAGCAGGCATCGCTACTGCAGTGATCACTGCTGGCTTCCGGGTTCTTTTCACACTGGCTGTCCTGCTGCATAGTAACTGCAGTAGCAGTGCCTACAACAGGGATTTCCAGCTTCCATGGGATCAGCCAGGTATAGCACATACTTGATCAAATACAGCAAATACTTTGTAAATGTTCTGAAATATGCACTGCTTGCTGCCCTCAATGGACAGGGGTAGTCCAAAGTCACTAAATGCAAAAGAAAAACAAAAAGAGAGCGTTTAAAATATTTATTGAAAGAATAAAAAAAAGTAGGTATTCTTACAATGGACATATAAAACATAGGCACATCACAATGAACAAAGGTGTTCAATCCATATAGAATCTGAGTCCACAATGATGGAACCCTGGATGACCAACTGGCTGACGCTTTTCGAGGACTCAGCCTCTTCCTCCGAGGAATGGTACTTTGAAAGTTAGTACTATGCCCCTTCTCCTCCCCAGCAGCTCTCCAGTAGCATTTATCTGGCTGTCATTTTGACAGACGGGACTTTATTTACACAGAAGCAGATCTTTGCGATCCTGTGTAAAACGGACACGCAACGTCAAGAAGAGATGCAATGTTACACACGCTAATCAGCCCAAATTAACTCCATCCTCTTGTCTCTGTAGCTATTATTTTGCACCAGATTTTTAAAAATTTCTATTCTTTCTATCATTAAAAGTTATGATGTATGTAAAGTACTAATTTTGCATAGAGTGGGGAAGTACTAGAACCTCTACCAGGTTTTTAATGCTATCTGTGGCTCCATTAAAAAGAGACTTACCTCCACTTCCTGTCCTGCTGACAAAATGTCACCTGAGAAGAATTCAACAGCAACACACAGATATACAAAAATCATTTTAATGCATCTTATGTATTACTTTTGAAGGCATAATGAGATTTAAAGAGGAACTTCATCCTTTCTGACAAGCTTCCTCCTGTACATCCAGCCGCCCCTCCACTGCACAACTATCTGGGGGTTTTTTTCCTCGTTCTTTTGATCGTTTACCTTTTTATCAAAATCTAATTCTTCACAGCCTGTCTCCTGTCATTCGCCCAGGTGAGTGACGTCAGCGCCTTCTAGTGCCTCTTGGGATATGTGATGTGGATATCCTGAGAGGTTCCAGGAGCATAGAGGGAGCGGGCCTAGCCACACATCAACAGTGCCTGTGCCTTCTGGTGACATCCCGGAAGAAGATGGCGGCACGGGACCCGAGTGCCAGCTACAGAAAAGGGGATCTCAGCGGGACAATGCTGGATCCACTAGGTAGGTGAATATCCTTCCTGAGCAGAACACTGCTACAGGTAGGCAAGGGAATTTTTTTTTGTTTGTTTTTTAAACGGAGAGTAGGGCACTGCGTTAACTGACAAATGCGTGGTCATGCAGCATTGCACCCAAATGAACTTTACGTCCCTTTTTTCCCCACAAATAGAGCTTTCTTTCGGTGGTATTTGATCGCCTGTGCGGTTTTAATTTTTTTACTATAAACAAAAAAGACCGGCCGAAAAAATAAAACAATATTTTTGACTTTTTGCAATTAAACATGTCCAGTAAAAAAAAAAAAAAAAAAAGTATCGTTCACAAATGGCGGTAAAGGTACTGGAAATTTTTTTTTTTAAATAGTAATGGCAACGATCAGCAACTTTTAGCGGGACTGCGGCAGGCATTCTGACACTGGGAGGGGGTTTAAGAGCTGACTTGGTGTCACTGACATTCCCAGTGACACCAATACAGTAGTGCTTAGTGCTAATAAAAAGCACCGACACTGCACTAATGGAACTGGGCAGGAAGGAGTTAACATCTGAGGCGATCAAAGGGTTAACTGTGTGCAGTTTCACTATGTTGCCTGTGTGTGTGTTTCACTGTAAGCACACTGCTTTGTGTGGCTCTGCTATGTTTATACACAAGTCTCTCCCCTATCGGGTGATACTCGGCGATCACCGGGTGCCGGCAAGTAATCATGGCCAGGACCCGGTGATTGACAGCCGAGGCCACGAATGGCGGCGCGGGTAGGGCGCACGTGCCCCCTACCCAGAACTGCAAAATCACATATATATACACGTGATTTTGCACACCCATGCCGCCCTGTAGCAGTATTTCTGCTATAGGGTGGCGAGGAACCAGTTAACATATATCTTTTTTTCGGAAAAGACGAGGATTTTTTTTTTTCCATTTTTGTTCAATTGTTTTTTTCCCTTTTTTTTTCCTCTTCCTCGTTTTTTCTCCTGTTTACTTAAGAACGAGTGATATTGTGAGCAGTTGTGAATTTGTAAGCTTATATTGGAAAATTATTACTAAGATATTATAGTAAAATTGCTTTTAAAATGTAGGATTAGGAAAAGGCTACAGAAATACACATGGAGAAGGGCCGGTGCCACAATAGGATGGTGTGTGGAAAGGTGAGGAGAGTTCAACAACCACAAAACAAGGCGTGCCTAGTCCTGCAACAACTTAGGGGTGAATAAATACTTCACTCTGAAAGTCCAAGGAACGCCAGGCAATTTGCATAAAATGTCAACTTTATTATAGTTAAAAAAAAAAAAAAAATGTATTGATAAGACTCACAAGCCCTCTGGGTGGAAGATGCCAAAGCCCAGTGGGACAGGGTGGAAGAATTGACCAGGAAGAATCAGTGACACCAGCCGCCAGAGACACCAAACCTCAGTCCACCTTGGCTGGAAGGGATGTCAGCAGGAATAGATACAGGATGAGGGCGGAAGTAGATCTAGGAGGGTGCCGTAGTAAGGGCACCAATAGATGGTGTGTTACCGCTGTGCCTGGAATCACCTGGAGCCAATCTTGGAATCAATTTTCGACTGTAGATAGTTGGGATGTGGGCTTTACCCTAGGTTCACATCTGTGCGGGTGGTGCCGTTGCGGATCCGCATGAAAATCCATGCAGCCACACCACCCACACAGAGAAATGCGGACTCGCGGGTGCCATTAGTTCTCACCCCCCGGTTCACATATTTGCGGCCGTGCGGGCCACGTTTTGCAAAGGCACAAGAGCCCATTCATTTGAATGGACTCCCGTGCCTGTGACATGCAGGGAAGAAGTCCCTGCACTTCGTTTGAAAACGCAGCCCGCACGGGAATCTCGGTTCCCAGTCCGGTTGCGTTTTCCAGTGCGAGCGGCGTGCCATTAGAACTAATGGCACCCGCCCACAGGTCCACATTTTTCTGTGCAGCTGCACGGATTTTCATGCGGATCCGCAGCGGTACCACCCGCACAGATGTGAACCTAGGGTAATGGCACATCTCCCACACTGGAAAATGCAACCAGACTGGGAACCGAGGTTCCCGTGCGGGCTGCGTTTTCCAAAGAAGTGCAGGGACTTTTTCCCTGTGTGTTATGGGCACTGGAGTCCATTAAAAAAAAATGGGCTGTCGTGCCCATGCAAAGCGCGGCCCGTACGGCCGCATGTATGTGAACCGGGGGTCAAGCTGCCTCCAGCATTGCTGTTCCCGATTACTTATTGATTATATATATCTATCTATCTATCTATATAGATATATATATATAGATATAGATATATATATATTTTCCCGTCAAGGGTTTAACTATCTTTCAATTCTACATTATGGCATTTTATACAAAAAAAGCCTGTCTAGGGCATTGCTCACATATGTAGCTACCTTACTGATGCCCTAAAAACAATGGTATACAAAAGTAGAAGCAATTCATCCAGGCTTCCTTGAGTGGTTTTGACACAGAGGGATGCAGCTATCTCACTATCACAACAATGGAAAAAAAAAAAAAAAGGCATCCCATCTCTCTTATGACGATGATTAATAGACTAAAAATACAGAACAAAATGCTGCGTCATAAAAGGCCACAAACCTGAAACCGATATGTACACAGTGTGCATACTACAAACTAAGAGATTGCAAGAATACAGCTTCCAAACTTCAAACTGACCCAAAGTAAGCTTGTGGGGGTCAATGTTGTAAAGTATATGTAAACCCTCAACCCATTCAGTTTAAAAAAAAAAAAAAAAAAAAAAAAAAGGTAAAAAAAAATGTGTATAGATATTAAAACACAACAATTATAAAACACTTTTCCCCCTTTTTCATAAGTGATCACATACTTTGTTCTCAGCTGCATATGAGCTGGAGGAGGAGAAACACTGGTCTTCCCAGTGAATGGCTGTGGGGACGGTGGGGGGGTTGTCAGGACAAGTCTCATCATTGGAGAACACACTGAGTTCCCAGCACAGTTAGAGAATGGACCATGCTGTGTTCTCATGCTTAGTGTGGTCAGTTTTTAATAGGAAAGCAGAGGGACTGGCAGGGTCACCAGGGATTTCACACAAAGGAAGCAATACAAAAGAGAACAGGATACTTTTTCATGCAAGTACATGGTACAGCAGGCACATATCAGGACTATGGAAATGTTGGGATTACATACTCTTTAAAAAGACTATTCACGCTGTTTACATGCTGTACATGCTACGGGGGGCCCCAATCACTTATGCACTGGATAATCAGCTGGATTTTATTTACAAGTTTCAGCATGCATACATGTACAAAACAAATGCACCTGACCCTCACACATCTGTATTGCCTTAGATTAAAAATGTCAGGTACAATGTTAAAAGGAATGAACCCATAGAACACGAGTCAATGGACCCAAAAAATGCGCAAAGCAGTATATATGGGCCCTCTACAGCTGCAGGTTCCAGGCACTGTCATTCAGATTCTGACTACACCCTAATGCAGTGTTTCTCACCCTTTTTTCAGTCAAGGTACCCTTTAAAATGATGGACAGTCTTGAGGCACCCCATTCTAAAATGTGAAAAACTATTCTAATAGCTTTATATAAGGCAGCAACATCCACACATGTAGGGCAGCCAACATTAGAGGTGATTTACTCATCTAAAGCAAATACACTTTTGCACACTGGTACTGACTACTATTCCAGTGCTCCCCCTCTCCCTCAGTTTTTATCCATCACTGAACTAATGTAACACCAGAACTGATGGAGAGGGGCGGAGAAGGGTCAGAATAGGATTCTGTGCAGGCAGCGGACATCCTCCTTATCAACTGATGATGTCATTGGTTGTCAGGATGCCGGCGATAGAAGGTAGTAATGGTACACAATGAACACCTGTGGCTTTGTGTAACTAAAAGGCAGGCTTGTTCCACCCGCTGGCTTGTATAAAAGTTTTGGGCAATTTTTAGACATTTTGCCGAGGCACCCCTGAGGAAGCCTCAAGGCACCCCTGAGGAAGCCTCAAGGCACCCCTGAGGAAGCCTCAAGGCACCCCTGAGGAAGCCTCAAGGCACCCCTGAGGAAGCCTCAAGGCACCCTGGTTGAGAAAGGCTGCCCTAAAGCATCACTAACCCTATGCATACATTCAGGACAGAGGTTCACACTTTGCTGCCTGCATGCTTATGCCATGTTACTGATTCTATAGGCAGTGAAGGTGGAATCAGCATGACAAGAGCAGACACCTCTTAAAATGGTTGTAAAGGCAGGATATTTTTACCTTAATGCATTTCCTGCAGCCCCAGCAGTTGTATCAATCCCCTTACCCCCCTTGTATTCACCCGAGTTCTATTGCCAACCAGCAATGTGCCCGTCTGCAGCAGCACTCTCCTTTCACTTTCCTCAAAGGAGGCAGCAGCAGGAGCCATTAACTCCTGCTGCTGTCAATCAAATCTTGTGAGGAGTGAACAAGGGGAGGAAGGATTGAGCCACACTGTGTGTCTATAGACTCACACAGCCCAGCTCAGGAGTGAGTCCACAGGTGTGTCACCGTAGGAAGAGGCTTGTATGGGGGTGCACAAAGAAGAGGAGGAGCCGAGAGGACTGGCAAGGGACCTAAAAAGAGGAGTTTGGGGGCCACTCTGTACAATGAGGTAAGTATACCATCTTTATTACAAAAAAAAAAAAAAATATATATATATATATATATATTTCCAACAGCCTTAAAGTGTATGTCCAGTCATTATCCACATTTATCACTAAACCTCCCTCTCACCCCTCCCCCACCAAACCATTGAGTCTTTAAATCATAATATGACATCAAGCCATCAATGGGCGAACTGAGGAAGAAAAGATAGAAGAGTAGAACAAAGAAAAAAGGAGGAAGAGAAGGAAAACAAAGGAAGAGACATAATCCACCAATGTGACAGGCCCGCCCATTCCAGCAAAGAGAAAGGAAGTGTTATCAAAGTGTAGTCTGTACGTAAATAATCCATGGGTCCCAGACTCACTCAAACCTGGTAGAGGTATCACGTAGGATGCCGACCACTTTCTCATTGATCATGACCCACAAAAGTTCACGTTTGCCAAGTCCACCACCGGACTCTTCAAGGCAGTTGCGATTGCAATTTTGGCTGCCAGGAACATGAAATAGATTAGCGTCTTAGCAGATCTGGAAACTCCAGCTATGAGTTCGTTAAGCAGCGCGGTTCTGGGGTTTTAATGACATTAATCATGGTCACCGTAAAGATCAGGGAATGAACTTTTATCCAGTACCTTGTAACTTTAGGGCAGTTCCACCATACATGGAACATTGTTCCCACTTGCCCACTTCCACGGAAACAAAGCCGAGAGATGACCTTATAGCCTGCCTCTACGAGGAGGAGCCAGCGTACATTCTTGACAGTCGGTCTGGGACCAAATACCAACGAGAGATGACCTTATAGCCTGCCTGTACGAGGGAGACATTCATAATGCCTTTATGTATTCTAAGAGTCCAGTCTCTCCAGTCCTCCTCTCCTACCTCCTCGCCCATGTCCCTTTCCCAGGCAAGCATATATGGGAGTTTACTGGAAGTGGAAACAATTTAGACAGACTCGAGATGTCCCCTTCTGAACACTACTTAAGATTTCAATACAGAAAAGAAACTGTGTTGTCAGCCTGCGCATTAAGTTAGAAGCTCGCTGGGTTACTGGCAGATCAACAGGTATTTTCCTGTACTTGCAGAGTTTGTGAAGGGATAAATCAAGAGGAACTCTGCATACTCCTGTATTGCTGACCTCACAGGTTTCTTTCAAGAGCCTCCTAGGCTGGACAAAACAATTCATCTTACCAGGTGAGCATTTTATTAGTAGTTTAACCCCTTGCCTACCGGGCACTTATACCCCCTTCCTGCCCAGGCCAAGTTTCAGCTTTCAGCGATGTTGCAATTTGAATGACAATTGCACGGTCATTGCAACATTGTACCCATATGAATTTTTGTATCTCTTTTTTCACACAAATATAGCTTTCTTTTGGTGTTTTATTTTTGCAATATAAACAAAAAAAAAAAAAAAAAAAAAAAAAGAGCAAAAAAATTTGAAGAAAAAAAAAAAAAAAAGTGTTTCTTTGTTTCTATTATAAAATTTTGCAAACAGGTAATTTTTCTCCTTCACGGATGTGCATTGATGAGGCTGCACTGATGGGCAGGCACGGATAGGCAGCATTGATGGGCACTGATGATGCTGCACTGATAGGCGGCACTACTGAGCACAGGTGGGTGACACTGCTACTACTGGGCAGAACAGGTGGGTGGCACTGCTAGGCACTACTGGGCAGCACAGGTGGGGGGCACTGATCATCAGTGCCAATCTCTTCTCTGACAAATGCCGGTTATCGGCAGTACGTACCCCATTATGTGACAGCATGTGACGATAACCGGCAACTGTATTACCCGGTGATCTGTTGTGTCATTGGACACAGCTGATCACGTGGTAAAAGGCAGCTGTGATTGGCAGTTTACCACATCACGTGATCAGCTGTCTCCGTAGATCGCCAGGAGGGCGCGCTCTGGGAGGACGTCATTTGACGCCCTTCCAGAACTGGACAACCACGCTGTAGCCGTCATTTGGCTACAGCGCGCTTGGCAAGTGGTTAATGGTTTGCCAAGAGAAAGCAAGGGTTATTTTCTGTAATGTATTAACTTACAGTCTGCGTGCCTAGTGTATACTACATTCAAGTTACATGACCTCTAGGTGTCAATAGCCTCTGGACACAAAAGGCTTAAAGCAAACCGAAAACCTGCCATGGAAGCGCGTTGCGATTACTATACACTTCCCATGTTGTTCCCACAAGATAAACACCAAACATTATTAGTCCTCGTGCACACTGGACGTTTTCTCAGCGGCTGTTTTTTGGCTTTTGATGTTTTTTTTCTACAGCCAGTAAACCCCCCAGCATGTTATCCTATGTGTCCATGCACACAGACTGTAAACAACATTTTTTGGCTGGAAAAAAACCCCCAGGACTAGTGGGTTTCTAGAGGAGTATTTTAGCTGTAAAAATGCTCCAACACTGAAAAAAATGGCAAAACGCAGTAAATCGTGGCAAACTGGCATTTTTTGGAAGGTTTTCTTAGCAAAAAAAAAAAAAAAAAAACACGCAAAAAAATGCGGCAAACCACAAATGCAAAAACGCTAAAAAAACTTGCGTTTTTAATGTGACTTTACATAGAAAATGTTACCTGCGTTATTAAAACGCCCCGTGTGCACGGAGCCTTATTGTGACAATGTTATTGTAAATAATACAGTTATTGGAATCGACACTGAAGTGTAACATGCTTTTGACTTTTTTTTTTCTTTCTACATTAGCGGATAAAAAAAAAAAAAAAAAAAAAGGATTTTTAGTATAGCTAAAGGCAAACTTTCAGAGGTTTCAGATTTGGATAGTGCTGAGGTGTTACTGTACTGTTATCTGTGTCTCCATTAGGGACATTCACTCTAATTGTCCTGATCACCAGTGTCACCAGGAATGAAAGTGAGGGTAAGTGGAGTTGCCAATGAACAGGAATACAGAGGAACACTTCTAATAGGGACACCTATTTCCATGACAACTGCCTAACAATGGTCACAGGAATTGTGAGTTTCTCTCACATTGGAAAGATATCCTCTCACTTCCTGTTTAGTCTACAGGTCAGGAAGTGAAGGGAAATCTCCCTAATCAGACACAGATGGCAAAGAAACAGCTGTTTATACCTTCTCCTAAGTTTTGTTTAACTATCTTTTGAGCATTGGAAAAAAGTGTGTGTTCTAGAACCAAAAAAGTTGGCGCTATAACAAAGTATACTAAAGAAGTTTCTAGTGGGCTGTATATGCAGAACAAGGGTGAGGAGGAACTTATCAGGGGAGTGACAGCGGGTAGCATGTGTAAGATAGGAATACTGAGGGTCCATTCACACTAGTGTTTTTCAAATCGCAGGCGGAATGACCGCGGATCTGCCTGCGAGTTGAAAACGGCACCTGAAAACGCAGGATGTTTTTGCATTTTCCGCATGGCAATCGCACAAACAAAATCCCGGGATGCGTGACACCCAATACCATTTTCGGAACCTGAAGTGAATGGCACCTGAACAAGCGAATGTGCGGTTTCACATTTTCACAGTGCGTTTTCAATTTGCGGGCAGAATCGCAACAATTCCGTCCACGATTTGAAACGCCCTAGTGTGATTGGTGCTAGGACATCCAGGCTGTGCCTCAGCTTAGTGTCCAATGTCAATGGGGAAGACATGGACAGAATTCAATATGCAATTTTTACACAAACCCCACTAGCCGCAAGGATCTGGTCACAAAAAATCCAACTCAAGCCATAATGTAATTTCTCAGTTCTGTATACAATGTGAAAGGTATAGAACCTCTGCCAACTTTTTACTGTTATATCACATAGGTTCAAGAACACCTTCCTAATGCAGGCCATAGATTGTTCGTTTATCGGACGATTTTTCGTCCAAAAAACAAAACATCGATCATTCTGTTGCCACCAATGATTGTGAAAATCGGCCGTTTTTCACATATTTTCCAGCATGACCGATAAAAGAAATGAGAAGGAACCGCGAAAATTGGCCGATGCCATTGCCCCACTAACAGTGTGAAAATAAACCGATTATACTTTTTGGACGAAAAATCGGCTGATAAACAAACCGTCTATGGCCTGCATAATTTTATAGCCCCCTTGGGAAGATTTCACCTTACTTCCTGCCTTTTTGATAGGCGTCGGAGAGAACAAGAAATTAGGGGACATCCCCCAGCAGAGAAACAAGATACAGGTAGCTCTAAAACAATGTGCCAATTAGAGTAAAAAAGGTTTAAAAAACTCAGGGTTACTGACCTGCTTTAGGCCTTACCTCTGATTCATGTAAAAATGATGAGGCCCCCAAAATGGAAGCAATGTGTGGTCAGCAGAAGCATCCATTAAATAGGAAACTCTGCTGACCTCATATTGGTTGCATTCCAGGGCCTCATCCTTTTTACCATTTTTCACTGGATCTGATTGCAACCTAGCACAGTGCAAAAATTTCCAGAAATCCCCTGACAAGCCTTAAGTGCAACCGGCCCCGCTCTGCATGGAGACAGTCATATTCTCCATATGTGCTAAATTAGGTTGCTTGACTCTAACCCTAGGTTTTACATCTGTGCAGATGGTGCCGCTGCGGATCCACACGAATATCCATGCAGCTGCACCACCCGAACAGAAGAATGCAGACCCGCGGGCGGGTGCCATTAGTTCTAATGTGCACTTCTTCCCTGCATGTCACGGGCACGGGAGTCCATTCAAATGAATGGGCTCTCATGCCCATGCGAAACTTGGCCCACAGAAATGCGGAGATGTGAACTGGGGGTAAAAGAGGTATCCAGCAACCTTCTGCATATAAAATATATACATACCACATTTTATGCCATACTTCTCACATATGTACAACTGAATGCTACTACTTTTTGTAACTGATAAACAGAAAATTACTCTTAGAAGGATCTCTCGTGGCTTTTATCACTTTTTTTCTCCTTGTCTCTACTCATCTGCAGCAGCACAGATTCCTGTTCATGTGACAGATGTTATGTAAAATGGTAAAGAAGCTCAATCTCTTAAACTGGACGCAAAGAGAATTGAAATACTGACCATAGGTCTAACCCTGCTTCCAGTTTTAGCATGGTTGTGTCATTTATACCAATAAGTTATAGTGAACCACACTTAGCAAAGGAAGCAAAGTAACACCTATAGTGTAGCAAGTGGTTGATTGTAAATGTAAAAAAAATGAGATTCGGAGTTAGAAGGTTGCTCTGAACGTGATCTGTACTTGCCTGCAGCCTGTCCGGTCTTGGCTAGAAGCCCACCCAGCTCCAAAATGCTCTGCTCCTTGACGCGTACCGCTTCCTCGTCACTTTCCTGTATATCTCGCTTGACTGCAAAGAAAACAAAACGTTCAGATACAGTACTTTAAAAAAAAATGTGGTAGAGGAAAAGCTGTGCAGACTTAAATCCCTTTGTAGCCTGGCTGTTTTTAAATTTTGCCCGTACATCCTCTATGAGCATGCCGATACAATGTGGGAGGAAGAATCAATGGACTACCACAGCACTGTGGCAGTTCATTGAGAAATACAAGCTGAGAACCGCTAAGGCTGTCGGGACTTGTAGTTTTCTCATTTACAGAATACTATGGAGGAGTGATGTGGCTTGGCAGGTGGAGCCCCGCTTTTTTTTTTTTTTTTTTTAAGTGGGAGCAGATCTCCTGCTAGCTGTCAAAGCAGGGGCCAGTCCTTTCATAATATGTAACATGTTATGAAAGGTGAACACCGGCACCTTTTTTTTTTTTTATCGGCAAAATGCTGATAACTATTTTCGGCAACTGATATATTGGTGCATCACTAAAGTTTACACTTGCAAAGGCAGCCTGCCGGGGTTGTATTTGTATCCTTGCCACAAATGAACGGCATTTGGTGGCAAATACAATCCAATGACCATGATCAGTCAATGGGGCCACACTGCGATCACATGCAATGCAAGTGGTTATGGTACATTCTTTCAGGCCTTAAACCAGGTGGTGAGCAGGTGACGTAACACCACCCAGCCACCATCGCAGATTGTTCTTCAACAATAATGTGAATAGCCCTTATGCAGTTTTGGATATAGTAGAGAATTGTTAAAACCTGTCAGTTTTTTGCCATCTTTGTCATATATGAGAGATTTCTCTCTACCTCCAGTCCTTTAGACACAGCTAGTGAGAGAATAAATCTCTTCAAAGTAAAAAAGAAATCTCTAAGCAGCTGTCACCACATAACAAGTGTCTGTCACTGGATGATTTCCTTTACAACCTAATCTGGACGACAACTGCTGTTACCAGGACTGAAAAGGTAACTCACATTCTCCCAAGGTGGTGACAGCGGACCAGTGGCTGAGGGCTGTTGGCGCTCTCCTAGCCACTCTGCCACTGTTGAGGTGTCACCGACAGTATTGCTAGAATAAAGCTGGCCATATATGGGTCGATTTCTGAAATTGTTTTCTTTGTAAAATCTTTTCTAATAATTTTAGTTCAAATTTCACACCATTAGTGGGCCACAGCAATGGCCGGTTTTCAAAAGACCATTAAATTTGACTGATCGAGTATGTTGGAAATTTTTTGAAAACCGAACAAATTTCTAATCAATGATGGGAGAATCGTACGAGAAATGTAATCGAAAAAGAAATGAGCATGAGCTGTGACCTGGAAAGAAAAGAATATTTTTGGCCACGAAAATTCTTTTCTGTAGCAACTTGAGGTGAAATTAAAGGCTTGGTTGGTCGAATTTCGAAATCAATTGTGGCACCATCAAATTACAAAACACACAAAATTTCTGATTTTCTAATGAAAATTCTTTTGGAAATTCGACCCATGTATGGCCTGCATAACACGGCTCTTAGGACAAGATGCCCTATTCAAATATTATCTGCTTTACATGTGATTATTAGATGTATGCATCAAGTAGAACTAAAGGCAAAAACCTGTTTAAATTCTGGATAAAGTATAACCTCTTTCAATTTTTTTTTTTTCATCTATGTCCCATTGGCGGGATTTCCCTTCACTTCCTCTGCTATTACCGAAACAGGTTGTGAGAGGAAAACCCTCCAAAATCCGGGAATCCCTGGATGTCTCTAATCTAACAGAGCTCTGGAAAGCAGTACAACCTGAAAGGGGTTCTAATGCTTCCCCCCTTCAGGCTTCGCTAGAAAATAGACATTTTTAGATATAGATTTACTAAACAATTTATTATAAAGTCACTACAAAGACCCGGCCACCAGACCATTTATTTAAATAATCTTCCCATGTGATTATATGTATAGTTAATGCATTCTATTTACCTGTAAAAGCCTCCCTTGTGTGGGCATCTAAAAGGCCTGAGACTGCTACTGGCCACCACAGAGCTGTCACTCAACTGATTCTCTATAGCAGGGGTAGGCAACCCTTGGCATCTAAGCTGTAGTAAAACTAAAAATCCCAAAATGCCCCTGGGAATCATGCTTATGGTTGTCAGTCTTGTAATGCCTCATGGGACTTGTACTTCCACAACAGCTAGAATGCTGAAGGTTGCCTACTCCTGCTCTATAGTATTCCTCTTTGTCCCTCCTCCACTTACCTGTGCTCTATAGTATCCTCCTTCACTCTTCCCTACTTACCCCTGCTCTACAGTATTCATCTTTGCCCCTTGCCTGCTTACCCCTGCTATACAGTCTTCCCCCTAGTTCCCCCCTCCTCTGCTTACTCCTGTGCTCCAGTATTCCCCTTAGCTCCTCCCCTGCTTACCACTACTCCACTGTATTGCCCCTTAGCCCCTCCTCTGCTTACTTGTGCTCTACAGTATTCCCCTTAGCTCCACCTCTGCTTATATCTGCTCTACAGTATTCCTCTTTGCCCCCTGCTGTCTTATACCTGCCTACAGTATTCCATTAAGCTCCATCCCTGCTCTACAGTAAGATTTTTTGCTCATCCACCTAGTCACAGCACTACAGTATTTCTCCTAGCTCCTCCTATGCTTAACTGTGCTTTACAGTTTTTCCTTTAGCCCCTCCCCCACGCTCTCCAGCACTGGCTCTTTGCTACTCCCCCACTTATTCCAGCTCTACATTTTCCCCCTAAGCTGCACAGTATTCTTCTTAGCCCCTCCTTCGCTTACCCATTTTCTGCAGTACTGCCCCTTAGCCCCTCCTCCACTTACCCTTGCTCTGCAGTATTGCCCCTTAGCCCTTCCACCACTATGCTGTATTGCCCCTTAGCCCCTCCTCCGCTTACCCCTTTTCTGCAGTATTGCCCCTTAGCCCCTCCTCCGCTAACCCTTGCTTTGTAGTATTGCCCCTTAGCCCTTCTCCCACTCTGTCTCTGTTGTATTGCCCCTTAGCCCCTCCTCCGCTTACCCCTGCACTGCAGCATTGCCCCTTAGCCCCCCTCCGATTACCCTTGCCCCACTCTTCTGTATTGCCCTTTTTCCGCTTACCCCTGCTCTACAATATTCTCCGTAGCCCCTCCTTCGCTTACCCCTGCTGTGCCATATTGCCCCTTAGACCCTCCTCCGCTTACCCCTGCTGTGCCATATTGCCCCTTAGACCCTCCTCTGCTTACCCCTGCTGTGCCATATTGCCCCTTAGACCCTCCTTCACTTACCCCTGCTGCTGTGCCATATTGCCCCTTAGACCCTCCTTCACTTACCCCTGCTGTGCCATATTGCCCCTTAGACCCTCCTCTGCTTACCCCTGCTGTGCCATATTGCTCCTTAGACCCTCCTCTGCTTACCCCTGCTGTGCCATATTGCCCCTTAGACCCTCCTTCACTTACCCCTGCTGTGCCATATTGCCCCTTAGACCCTCCTTCACTTACCCCTGCTCTGCCGTATTGCCACTTAGCCCCTCCTCCACTTACTACTGCTCCCCAGTATTCCCCTTAGCTCCTCCGCTGCTCTACAGTAATCCCCTTAACTCCTCCCCTGCTCTATAGTAATACCCTTAGCTCCTCCCCTGCTCTATAGTAATCCCTTTAACTCCTCCCCTGCTCTATAGTAATACCCTTAGTTCCTCCTCCAGCTGCTACAGAAAAGGTTATGTGAGGGAGGTGGAGCTGGGCCAGCACAGACCATCACAGGCACCTAGTGCATTGGTTTCCTGTACTTTTCCCCTGCAGTGTATTCAGATGATGACAGGGCCTCTCCTCAGCCTATGAGAGGAGTATGGCCATGTGTAGTATACAGAACACACATACACTCCATCAGAGAGGGTGTCATTCATACACACCATGTACACACACACTGTGCCCGGGGTATGGCTAGTAGTACAATGTATACACACAGCCCCTGTCTGTCTCCCCCTCATAGCACACAGCTACAACAATGGCACTCGTCCCCCCTCCCCATCCAGGTACAGTGGTACAGCCCGGCTCCCCGTGTCCCCCCTCCCAGAGCAAGCAATGGCCGGTTCCCCCGCCCCGAGGGCGCTCCGCTCTCACCGATAGACTGCAGGATGTCTATACTCGCCGCTCTGTCGGTCCCCACCATTTCCTGAGCTCTCTGGAACTCGACCACAGCTGCAGCCGCCATCTTGCCCTATGCCTGCACCCTGACACAGCTCTTCCGGGCCGGAAGCAGCGGCACCGGAAGTCCACCCCCTCACTCTCCGTCCGTGCGTGAGCCTGTTCCGGGGGGTGAGAGCCAGGCATGCCGGGAGTTGTAGTAGCAGTGAGAAGGGAGGAGCCGTGCGCTGCGTGTGACCGCTGAGGGGGCGGGGCTGTGGGATGTACAGAGAACTCAGGAGAGGACAATAGACAATGTTGTAGATGGGGGAGGACAGGACATGGCTGGCATTGTACAGGGGAGGAGTCACTCATACGGCACATGATTGGCATACCAAATACATCAGTTTCGGCTGCCATGTGTGCCCTGACATGCTCTGGAGGTTCATCCATGGGATGCAATTCAGGGGAGAGTTGTAATCGCTGTCAGGTTATTTTGTTGCCACCCGTGACCCCGCTGGGGAGAGCTCCCTTCACTTCCTGCCCTACAAGCCAAAACAGGAATTAGGAGGAAATCTCTCCAAAGTGAGGGAATCCTGAGGTTCCAGGGGTCAGTAGTATGCAGGGCAGTGTCCAGGGGTCAGTGGTATGCAGGGCAGTGTCCAGGGTCAGTAGTGTGCACGGCAGTGTCCAGGGGTCGGTGGTATGCAGGGCAGTGTCCAGTTGTCAGTAGTGTGCAGGGCAGTGTCCAGGGCTCAGTGGTGTGCAGGGCAGTGTCCAGGGCTCAGTGGTGTGCAGGGCAGTGTCCGGTTGTCGGTAGTGTGCAGGGCAGTGTCCAGGGGTCGGTGGTGTGCAGGGCAGTGTCCAGGGGTCGGTAGTGTGCAGGGCAGTGTCCGGTTGTTGGTGGTGTGCAGGGCAGTGTCCAGGGGTCGGTGGTGTGCAGGGCAGTGTCCAGGGGGGTCGGTGGTGTGCAGGGCAGTGTCCAGGGGGTCGGTAGTGTGCAGGGCAGTGTCCAGTTGTCGGTAGTGTGCAGGGCAGTGTCCAGGGCTCAGTGGTGTGCAGGGCAGTGTCCATGGGGTCGGTGGTGTGCAGGGCAGTGTCCAGGGGTCGTCGGTAGTGTGCAGGGCAGTGTCCAGGGGTCGGTAGTGTGCAGGGCAATGTCCAGTTGTCGGTAGTGTGCAGGGCAGTGTCCAGGGCTCAGTGGTGTGCAGGGCAGTGTCCAGGGGGTCAGTGGTGTGCAGGGAAGTGTCCAGGGGTCAGTGGTGTGCAGGGCAGTGTCCAGGGGTCAGTGGTGTGCAAGGCAGTGTTCAGGGGTCAGTAGTGTGTAAGGCAGTGTCAGGGGTCAGTAGTATCAGGGCAGTACCCAGGGCTCAGTAGTATGCAGGGCAGTGTCCAAGAGTCAGTAGTATGCAGGGCAGTGTCCAGGGCTCAGTAGTATGCAGGGCAGTGTCCAGGGTCAGTAGTATGCAGGGCAGTGTCCAGGGGTCAGTAGTATGTATTGTAGTGTACAGAGGCCAGTAGTATGCAGGACAGTGTCCAGGGGTCAGTAGTATGTGTAGGGCAGTGTTCAGGGGGTCAGTAGTATATGAGAGACAGTGTCCAGGGGCCAGTAGTATGTAGGGCAGTGTACAGGGGTCAGCATTATGTAAGATAGTGTTCAGGGGTCAGTAGTATACAGGGCAGTGTTCAGGGGTCAGTAGTATATGGGACAGTGTCCATGGATCAGTAGTATGTAGGGCAGTGTCCAGAGGCCAGTAGTATGTTGGACAGTGTCCAGGGGTCAGTAATATGTAGGACAATGTCCCGGGATCAGTAGTATGTAGGGCAGTGTCCCTGCATGATGCAGATGTTAGGAATGGAGGGGGACGTAATTCCCCAACCCCTTTCCATCCCACATCTAATTTTAATAACAGGAGAAATAATTTCTCAAATAATCGTTAATATTATGGAGATGAAAGAGGTGGTTACCTCCTTATCAAAAACAGGAGAGTATGAGGCCCTATTATGGACCTTCTGGAGGTAACCATAGGGACAATTTTGGCCAACATGGAAATAGACCCCCACAGGGATAACATAACCATCAAGCCAGATCCCCTTATAATCAGGGAGGGACACAGGCTCCTTTTTTTAGGGGAGGGAACATCAAGAAAAAGAAATGTCCATATAGAGGAAGACGAGGGGGAAAGAGGATTCATGGATACCAAGAAAAGATGGATCTAGGCAACAATGGAATCTTTAATCTCAGTAAAACTGTTTTTATCTCCTAATGAAATATCCCTGCTTAACAAGGGCTTGAAGTTTGCACCAAAAGTTAAACTTAATAAGTTTCAGACATAAATAGATATTCACAAGTTTATTAGGCAGATGTCTTTAAAAAATACATTTTCTGATCAACCCCCACACAGAGAACATTATTAGTTATTATTAGTTATTAGTGATATCAAGAGTACCAATTTAAGGAATGCATCGTTGTTTAACCCTCCTTTGAGTAGTCATCCTCATATAAATATTTTTAGGGACATGGTCATAAAAGACCTTGAATCCCTGCATATCAGGAAGCCCAGGAATCAGCATAATATCGATGCAGGAATAAAACGACTTCTGGATAGAAAAGATCTGGTAATCCGTCTGGAGGATTATATGACAGAAGTGCATGAGATTTTAGAGGATAGTGAAACCTATCGACTGTTGCCCAAAGATCTAGTGGTTAGTTATAAACAAGAACTTAAGAATATCATCAAAAGGGGTTTTAAGGATAATATCATTAATAAAAAGAAAAATAATTTTTGTGTCCTACCAATTTTTTTACTGTCTTCCAAAAGTTCATAAGGATCTACAACATCCTCCTGGAAAACCGATAGTGGAATTGGCTCTTTATGCTCTAAAGTAGAATACATAGATTTTTTACTTCAGCCATTGGTGCTTTCCAGTCCTTCTTTTCTGAGGGATAAGAAACAGGTCTTAAATGATGTTAAGAATGTTATTGTTGAACCATCTACATTTTTAGTTACAGCTGATGTAGCTTCCTTGTACAGCAATATAGGACATGCTGATGGGATGGAAGTGGTTGAGTATTACTTGAGGGAGTCTGAGGACGTTCCCTGCTGCCAAAAGAGGTTCATATTAGAACTTTTAGATTTTGCCATGAAACATAATTATTTTTGGTTTGATAAGTTTTTTTAACTCCAAACTAGAGGTGTTGCCATGGGGGCAAAATTTGCTCCAAGCTTGGCAAACTTTTTCATGCTGAAATGGGAGGAAGACATAATTTATTCTAGAGAATGGCCTGAATTGTGCTTCTAGCGGAGATATATTGATGATGTCTTTCTCCTTTGGCAAGGCAGTGAGGAATCTCTGCAAAAAAAGTTTTGTGACTTTAAATAATAATAATCTTAACATCAAATTTACATATGTGTATGACCAAAAGGTAATCAAATTTCTTGACCTTACCCTCATTAATGAAGGTACTAAGATTGTCACTAGGTCTTTCTTCAAACCTACGCATAGGAATAGTCATATTCCTATAGATAGTTGTCACCATCCTCTCTGGTTTTCTAATATTCCTAAAGGCCAGTTTTTTTAAATACGGAGAAATTGTGACAGCTTAGATTTTCATTCCCAGGTCAAGATTCTGAAAGACTGTTTTTTAGAAAGGGGACAAATTCCATCGTTGTTGGAGCCATTCAGGAGGCAGCCAACACAGACAGGTTTTCTTTTCTAAATCTTCCCTTTTATCACCAGTTTCTCAGTCCAACATAGAGGGATAGAATTTTTTAAATAAACTGGAGAATCCTTAAAGAGGATCCAGTACTGGCAAGTTTTTTACCCGATAGGCCGGAAGTCATCTTCCGAAGAGCACCCCCATTAAGATACAGGATAGCCCCCAATATAGTGGAACCACCTAAAGAGATTACATTTTTTTCTGGATTAAAAGGTTTTTTTCCTTGTAATAAATGCATGATCTGTACATGTAATAATGTGCAGAAAAAAAACCACTATATTCATTTTTGTCCCACTCTACGGGTAAGGAGTATAAGACTGAATCCTTGATTACATGCAAAAGCAGATATGTGGTATATCTTTTAGAATGCTCTTGTAAAAAGTAATATATAGGTAGAACCACTAGGAGGCTGAGAGATCGCTTAAGGGAACACCTTTATAATATCAGGAAGGGTTTCAAAGAGCATTCTCTTTCTAAACATTATAGAGATCATCATCATAAGGATCCTTCCTGTTTGAAGTTTATGGGGATAGATCTCATTCGTCCCCACTGGAGGGGAAATAATAAGCGTAGGGCAGTATCCATGCTTGAGACACAATGGATTTATGAAATGTGCACTTTGGTCCCTTTGGGACATAACATCGATAACATACATGCTTTTTATCCGGTTCAATAAGTATTCATTACTGTACTACATTGCGTTCCTTTTGGATATTTGTCAGTTTTTAATTGCGTTCCTTTTGGATATTTGTAGGGTTTCCTACCTTTATCATTTTGTATGAGACATACCCTTTGAGGATTCTTAGGCAATTCATTTTATACTATTGGTTCATTCAGGTGTTTTTATTATGTTTAATAATTTTTTTTTTAATTTTTGCATTATATGTAATAACTTGATCTCATCCCAATCTTACTGGATTATAGCTGTAAATGGCTAGGTGAACCCCAGTTATTATATTGATATTTACAGTGTTCTGGAGATTCAGGCTTATTATCTCATATTGAGTAAGTTTGAGCACTTGCTACGAAGATCTGGCCATGGGCTTTTCAATTAAATTATGATAATCTAAAGTAATTAATGCTTATCTGATGATCATGTTCATGATAGTTTCTGTTCCGAGATATGGTTGTGATGTTTTGGTCCACAAGAAAATGGTGCCTGCTCGTCCGTGCGACTTCTAGAAAATGGCGCCGGTTCGGTCACACGCCTGAGGCCTATTTAAGTCATGTACTGTGATGGCGTCAGTATGAGGCGGTCCCTTTGAGAACGTGCGTGTGCATGAAACGCGTAAGCAAGGAGCCTACGTGCTAACATCACGCTGTCGGCAGCCATCTTTGCGAGTAATCTGATACCTGTAATTTTGTTT